TTCCAACTTAGCAAAAAGTTTGTGTTTGTGGAATTACCTTAAGACATTTCTGACATGAGTGTCAAGGAAAGATGGATCTTCTGAAAAAAAATGGAAGTATGTCATCCAAATGCACAGCTACATATTTGTCCAAAATATCAGAAAATATTTCATTGATGAATCTGGAGAAGACTGCACCATAATTTACCAAACTAAGTAGCATTTATATCCAAATTTGCCACACCTAGTTATCAAAAGCCATTAAATATTTGTGGTCTTCTTTCCTTCTGATCAAAGCGCATGTGCCTTTCAAATCCAATTTAGTGACAGTGCATACTTTTTGAAGGCAATCCAGTAGATCTAAAATAAGAGGGAGTGGGTAATGATCCCTAATGCTCATAGAGTGAACCTATAGTCTATGAACAGTCTTCAACAAATTATCTTTCTTGGATATGAAAAATGTAGGTGCAGACAGTGGAGATTTAGAAGGATGAATAAAATCTTTAGATTGTCATCCAGAAAGTCCTTCCAAGTGGCTAACTCTTGAGTAGACATACAGTATTACATCTTAGCCTCCATGGGGGCTCTTAGTTTCAAGTTGATGGTACACTTATATGCCTGATAAGGGCCAAGGTAATTGCTTCATCTTTATCAAACATCAACGAAATCTGTATAGCTTTCCAGTTCAGGCAGTGGTGTAGGTCAGAGAGAAGGACAAAAGAGGGATGCCTGCAAATGGTGCTGTTGACAATTTTGATGTGGAAAAGAAATTATCCCTTGTGCTCAGTAGACATCTGAATTTTGTGCCTGCAGCCAGTATATGTTCAGTATTATGGGAACATATAAGGAAACTGTAATATAGAGTGGCGAGAATTCTGTATGATCGTTTCTTTTCAGTTGTAGAGAAGTTGTTCATTGCAAAATAGGACCAGCTCAAAACTGTTGCTTGCTAATTGTTTCCACTACCATACATTACCCTAATCACTGTGGGAAATTCCAACTGACCCAGTATAATTTCATCTAGGAAATTGGCTGTTGCACCAGAGTCAAAAAGAGTGAAGAGCTATATTTCTATGCCTGAAGGGATGTGAAGATCAGAGGAATGCTGTAGACATAGTGTACTTGGACTTGGACTTTGACAGGGAGCCTTACAATATTCTCTTTAGAGACTAGATAATACTACTTTTAACAGGCTCACTGTTGCCCACATGACTGTACCCAAAGAAAGCTAGGTAATGGGTCCACTTTAACCTGGAGTGAAGTATGCTAGGCAATCCAAAGTTGCCGGCCAGAAATGGTCGACGCTTCAGCGGTTCGAGTCCAGCCTTCGCGTTAGCAGGGTGAGCTCCTGTTTCC